ATACACAACTATATAGACTGGAATTCACAAATACTATTCACAACTCAGCTTGAATACTATGATACATTTGACTTCTACATTTATCTTTCTACTGTGAACACTTCTAGTAGTTAACAGTACATATCACATCAAGCTGTAAACACCTGAATAATCATCTGTGAGCACTTATTCTTACATTTCAAGCTCAGTCAGTCAGCAACTGCCTGTTATGACTGAAAGAACTAGAAACTTACATGCTTCAATCCCTGTGAACCCTACTACAGGCACCCAGGAGCAGCCACTTGAACCATGAATAATCTCTGTGAAAGAAGTCTCAGAGAACTTATCAATCACTCATGAGACATCATTCTCTGCATCTGTGACAGGGAAACTCTTCAAACCCATGAATGAATCAATCTCAGTGAAGAACATTCTTGAGCATCTCTCATGAAATCAAGCTATTTTTCTACAAGAAATGCTTGCTGCCTGTAAACACTCTCAAACTGAGTCTCTAGACATGATCTTCAGAGATATCTGCAAACTGAAAAGAAACTTTCTCAAGCTGCAATCACTTAAGGCCATCTATTAAATCACAATCTATAAAAGCTTTTGTGAGTTTGTATTTGAAATTGACTCACAAGCCCAGCTGTGTGATATGAAAGATGAAGAAGCTGTCATCTATACAATGACAGACCTCTATTACACTGAAGTCAAGAACTGACTGAATCATCTAGAGAATGATTATAAGAGATCTCAATGATCTGTTCTCAAGACCTATCTAGAGAATAAGTTGAGAAACTTCACAAGCTGAACAGAGAACACCTGAGCTGTGATCATTAATATTAGAAAAAGAGGTGAGAAATCTGATGAAGACTACTCACAGCACTTCATGAAATTGTGATGTGAATTGAGACCTGTGAAAACAGGGTTCTGAAACAAGACCTGAATGATGATATTTGTAAAGAAGCTGGATAAAGGCATGCAGAACAAGCTCATTGAGCAAGGCTCTAAGTTCTTGACTCTGAAGAAACTGATGACTCTCATTCATCACTTACAGATCACTGTGAGAGTCACAGACTTACAGAGAGTGAATCATCAATCAGTTCTACAAGAGCCAGAACAACAGAGAACAGATTTGTCAGAAAAAGATAATAAGACACAGAGAGATTTATATCTGACTGCTGAGTAGAAAGAGAGAGCTTTACAAGCTTCTGTGAACAGAGTGTATAACAGAGAGATTAAGAAAAAGAGACTCTGCTTTATCTGTTCTAAATCAGAACATCTCTGTGCAAACTATCTGAACAAACTAAAATAGGAATTTGAAGAGTCACAGACAGAGTCAGCAACAGCCTTCTTAAGAGTCTTGAAGCTGACACCTGAATCTGTTACTCTTTCAATGAAAATGCTTACTCACAGAGAGAGACTACACTGCAGTACTGCTGTCTCACAAGCATGAAAAGCATTAATGAACTCAGGATCCCAGGTCACTGTGATGTTTCTAAAGCTCATGAAGTGAATGAGCTGAAAGATGAAGACTGAGAACCTGCTCTTACAATAAGCAGAGTGTGAGAACTCAGATCTGAGAACTGAGAGACTTACAAGAGCTATCTTTGAATTGCAAGATCTCTCTGAAATCTGAAGAAGATTTGCAGAAACTGTGATTATCACAGACATCACAGATAACATGTATTTGAGACTTATATGACTTCAAAGACACAATCTGCACATAGCTGTTCATGAGTCAGGTTTATACTTTCAATCAGTGTTGACAGACTCACTCACAGAGATAGAAGCAGTTAATGCTGCAGAGTTGATTAGAGAAGACAAGCTCATCTATGTAATGACTTTGTAAGTGTCTGAGAACCTCACAGTCATGAAAACTGAGCTTCAGATATCAGAGAAATACTGAGATCTTACAGAGGTGTTCAGCTCAGCTAAGACAGCTGAGCTTTCTCTTCATCACAAGAAGAATCTGATAATAGATTTGATAGAAGAGCAGAAACCCTTCTGAGAATTAATCTATAAGCTCTCTCATTATAAGACAGAGATCTTGCAGATCTATATGAAGAAGAATCTGAAGAATAACTTCATTCAATCTTCACAGACCTTCACAGAAGTCTCTGTGATGTTCACAAAGAAGAAGAATGAAGATCTCAGATTGTGTGTAAACTATTATAACCTGAACTTCAAGATAATAAAGAGCTGCTATCTCCTGTCTCTGATTGAGAATGTAATCAATCATCTCACAGAAGCTGTCATATTCACACAACTGAATGTAATCAATGCATATACACAGCTGTGAATACAGTCTGAAGATGAATGAAAGACTGTCTTTAGAACTGCACTGAGATTGTTTAAATATCTAGTGATGTCTTTTGATCTGACTAATATCCCTGTGATATTTCAGTCTTTCATCAATAAAACACTTTGCACATATCTGAATATCTTCATAGTAATATATCTGAATGATGTGATGATGTACTTCATGAAGAAGAAAGAACACACTGAGCATGTGTGAAGCATATTAAAGGTCTTAGATGAGACAGAACTGTATATTAAGCTTGCAAAGTGCAACTTCAGTACTCATCAGATTAATTTCCTAGAATATGTAATCACTGTAAATGATATTCAGATGAAATCTTCACAGATTGAGACTATTCTATCATGACTGAAGCTAACTAGTATTCATGAGATTCAGATCTTTCTGAGCTTTGTGAATTTCTATAGATAGTTTATCTTTGTGTTCATGAGAATCTTCTTGACCCTTACAGACATGCTGAAGAATGAAAATAAGAAGAAGTCATTCTATGAATAAAGAATGAAAAGATTGTTGAGAAGAGAGAACTGTGAGAACTTTCTTATCTCAGAAGCTCACAGAGTCTTTGCAAGATTAAAATAGATATTCATAGATACAGTGATGCTGTTTCACTTTGATTTCTTACTCTTAATCAGATTGAAGACAGATATCTTCTTCTTTGTGATTTCAGAAATAGTCTTACAACTACAGTTAAATGAGAACTGAATTTCAGTGATCTTTTTCTCACAGAAGATGTAACTCATGAAGATCAACTATGACATTCATAATCAGAAGCTTCTCATGATAGTAAAATTCTTTCATCACTGATATCACTACTTCAAGAGCCTTATAACAGTGATTACTGTTAGAACTGATCATGACAGCTTGCAACAGTTTACTTCAATCAAGAAACTCTCACAGTAGCAGGTTCACTGAGCTCAGAGACTGAGTGAGTTCTGGTTCAAGATAGAATATATTAAGAGAACTAAGAACTCAGCAGACAGACTCTCTCACAGGTCAGACTATATTAAGAAGGCCAGGGTGACAGATACAGAGAAGCTAGAGAAGATAGAAAAGCTTTACAGAATGCTCAGACTGAGTGTTATAAAGAGATTGACTGAAGAGTCTCTCAATTCTCTATAAGAGAAGAGAGAAAAGAAAGGAAAGAAGTCTGCACAACTACTCTCTATAACACTGAGAGTCAACACTCTGAGAATCTCTGTGAGAATTCTTGAAGAGAGTATCTATAATCTGAAGAGTTTGCAGGCTTTGAGAAGCACTGCAGAAGACCTGATGTAAGAAGAAACAGAGTATAAGTCTTTATAAGATCTTCTATTCAGATTGTCTGAACTGCAACTGAAGAATGAATATGCTCAGTATATTCAGAAACTGCTCACAGCAGAGATCAATCCTGCAGAAATAAAGAATTGAAGAGACTTAAATAGCCTCTTGCAAAGAGAGGGCTGGATTTATGTGTCTGTGAATGAGTTTCTATATATAGAACTTATTAAAAGGCATTATAACTCTTCTCTAGCAGGTTATTTTACAGACACTAGAACTCATAAGTTGCTTATAAGAAAATACTTCTGACTGAAGATATAAGAACTTGTGAAGAAGATAGTGAATTCTTATACTATTTATCAGAGTTCATGAGTAGTGTGATTCAGATTATATGAAGAACTCACTTCTCTATTCATCTCACAGAAACCTTGAGAACAGCTAGAAATGAATGTTCTTATAAGTCTCTCTGAAAGCAAGAACATATATAATGTCTGCTTTGACAGTGTGCTGATGATAGTGAATTACTTTATCAAGATAACACACTTTATACTCATCTGCAAGAACTTGAAGTTAAAGGATTTGACTTATATCTTTATCTGCAATGTGATTCAGTTGCATGAATTGTCTGTAAATATTGTCTCAGATAGAGAATTAATCTTCACAGAAGAGTTCTGATCTGATCTGATAACTATACTGAAGATTTCATGAGATCTAAGCACAGCTTTTCATTAACAGACAGATGATCAGATAGAATATCTGATGAGTATATTAAAACAGTATCTGTGATACTTTGTTAATTATAATCAGAATGACTGAGTGTATTGATTATTACTCACAGAGTTTATATACAATAACTCAAAGTATGTCAGCACAGATAAAACCCTCTTTGAGATGCTCACTAAGACTTATCTGCAGATGATCTTGATGAATCTGTGAGAGTACACTATAGAGTGTGATGATGTCTGTGAACAGGCTGAGAGAATTCAGAAGATCTGAGAGAAAGCCTGTGAATTCTTGAGAAAGGCTCAAGAGTATCAGAAGAGATACTATGACTTCAAGCATATTATAAAGAGTTTCAAGAAAGATGATAGAGTCTGACTGAGTCTAGAAAACATCATCACACAGAGATTTAGTAAGAAGCTGAATCTCTTGTGAACAGAGTCTTGTAAGATTGTGAAGAAAGTTAGCTTGTAATTCTATAGATTAAAACTGTCACCTGAGTTGCAGATATACAATGTTTTTCATATCTCTTTACTCTGTGAATATAAGAAATTCTTAGAAGAGAACTCTGTGACTCATTACTCTGTCTGTAAAGCACTAGAGAGTGAAAGAGAATATCAGATTAAAGAGATTATTGACTCAGAGAAGTGAGGTTATGAGCTCTGATTCAAGATTCAGTGATAAGAATATTCTGACAAGATGAATGAGTTCACTTGAGAATCATTCAGACAGATAAGACATCTGCAGAAGCTGAGACATGACTTTCATACTGTGAATTCTGATAAGTCAGAATAACACAGTCTTCACTAAGAATCTGATTATGATAAAGATATTAACACTGTTATTTACAAACTCTAGTCTATAAGATAATGAGTTTCTACTGAAATGAATAGTCTGCAGTGTATGCAAGAAAAGAAGAAAACATGTTCTTATTAAAGCTAAAAAACAAGAAAACAAACAGGGCTGCAAATGCAATTTAGAGATCAATAAAGAAAAAATAAAGAAAATTCACACTTATATTATTAATATCTGTGACACTCAATTCTCTCATAACTATCAATTTCCCTCTTTAAAGAAGCAGAGAGTATCATGTTCACAGTACAGACAATTGTTGTATTTGATATGAAGACTGTCAGAAATGCACAGACTTCAGAAGAGCTGAATATCAGAGTGTGTATAGTTGTAGCAGAGTCTTGAAGACTGGTCATCTGTGCATGTGATTAGATATCTCTCACAAAGCTGTGTTCACTCTCTCAGTTATGCTGGAGTATTCAGCCTGAAAACAATGAGAATGTGAAGAGAAGGCTCATCTGTTCAGATTAACTTCTGTCACAAATTCATGATATTTGCATTGCCTTGATTATCTGGATTTTATAGGTACCTGGAAACTCATCTCTCATTGGTAATGAAATTGCAGAAATGCACTGTGATGTGAGAATCATTGATAGAGAATCTAGACATATTTGCATATATCTGGTCAGAGATTGTGCAGGCAGAAGAGAGGTGATTGTAGATCTGCAGGGCTGCAGGAGACACTGACAACACTGAGAGCTTTACAAGAACTGTCAGCTAGAGTCTGTAAGAAATTACTTATGAGAAGACTTACAGCAAAGAAAGGAACTGTGCTGCTTGAAGCCAGGGGCTGGCCTGGGGAAGAAATGAGGTGAGCTGCTGGCTTGAAGATCAGGTGCAGTGGTGAGACTGAGGAAGATGAAGATGCAGTCATGGGTGACAGCGCCCCTGCTTTACCAGCTGGTAAAAAGTGATCAGAGAAGTCACAGAAATGCTCACAAGAAGCTCAGTGATGATCAGACATTGTTTATAAAGATGTTGAAATTGAAAAAATTTTTATTCTTGAGAAGTTCTTGAATCAATATACAGATATTGTTAGAAACACTCTCTCTCTGTTATCTGAGTGAAAACACTTCATAAATGAATGAGAATACTCACAGTTTATGAGAATGAGAGCTGTTACAGAAAAAGAAAAAAGAAGATGAGATTCTGTGAACAGATCTGAGATATTTATACTACTCTAGAGAGGTTTGCTTACACTGTGAGTGATTCTGTGAAACAGTCAGATCACTCTAGTAAATAAGAGTGATTGTGAATTGCAGGCCTGAATCTTTCTATATAACTATAAAGAGTGATTACAGACTGCAGATATCTTGATTCTACAATTCTACAGAGTTAGTGAAAGAATGAAAAATTCCTCACAATTCTACAGTGTCAAAGAGCAATGATTTGTAAGAATGAATGAAAGATTAACTTGTGAATGTTTCTCTTTGATGAGAGTGATCTCACAGAGAGTGATTCATCTGTGAGATGAATCTGTATAATGATTACATAAGAATCTCATGAAAATGATTGAGAGTCAACTGAAACTCTTCTGTATGAAAGGTGTGAGATGAATCTGTGTAGTAGTCAGAGAAGAATCTGTAGATCATAAAGAATCTCACAGAATAAGAAACTGAGTGATAGACTCTTTTCTCTTCACAGTAACAAGGGATTTTTCCTCACTGAGATTTTTTATAGATGTGAAGAATTTTTAGTGAGTATCACTGCAGTGCTGAGCTGACTATGAAGTCACTCAGTGAAAGGCTTTGCAGACAAAGTCTTAGAGAGGAAGAGATATGTAAGAAATCTCACTTCTCACAAATTCTTTACCTCTATTTCTATCTCTTGTGTAATTAATAGGGCTAGCGGCTCTTGGCTACACACAACTATATAGACTGGAATTCGCGAATACTATTTACAACTCAGCTTGAATGCTATGATATATTTAACCCCTACATTTATCTTTCTACTGTGAACACTTCTAGTAGTTAACAGTACATATCACGCCAAGCTGCAAACACCCGAATAATCACCTGCGAGCACTTATTCTTACAGAATCACATACTTCACTAGATGACTTATTGATAGAATGATCACTTATTATAAGAAGGCTTCTGACTTGCAAGATGAGACTGAGATCAGTTTTCATCAAAGTATGAAATTTGATGATGAGATAATAGAGAAACTTCAGAATAAAGAAAAGCAGAGTTAACATTCATCTACAGAATCTATTCATTTTAACTTATTAAATTCTTTACTATTTCTCATCTCTGAAATGCTAACTTTTAATAATAATTTGAATTAATCTATCTATTACACTGCAGGCAATCTTATAAATCTTATACAGATAATGCTATGAAATCAAATAACTGCAGCTGAAATTACTTAATATCTTACTATATCTGTCTCTGTATAAAGAGACACTACAAGAAATGAGTTATAAGAATATCAGAAGAAAGTTAAATATACACTAGATATTAAATCAGTGATCACATTTAATGACTCTAATTATAAAGTCTGATATATTGATATATTGACTAATATGAAAGTTATTGATGAAACTGACATTCTATTGAGAACTTAATAAGAATTCTCTTTTACATATTATATTAACTCTGAGAAGTGAAGAATCTGTTTCAAGTCTCTATATAGATATATGCTATTAAGTCTTATTAAAAATGTTTGAATTACTATTAAAACCTTGAAAGCTGACAATACTGCAGCTCTGTGAGATAAGATTAATATTGAATATATAATATCACTAACTGAAGAATGAGTTAATGTCTTCAGGAAATTGATAAAATTATAAGTTAAGAAGAATAATTATCTTACTTTTCAGAGATATTTTCACTATCTTATTATCTGTTACAAGAAGCTCTGTCAGAGTACTGAGAATATATATTATAATCTTTTTCTCAACAATCTACAAGATTATCAAAGATCATTTATCAAGATATATTTGAATGAGTTTTTCTCTACTGATCAGAGACTCATTGTCAATATTAATATTAATGATTTAATAAAGTAACTGATCAATCATACATTCAAGAAGATTATCACTGAGTGAAAAAAGCAGTCTCAGACTGATTCTGTGACTGTGAAAAAGAACAAGAATAAAGATAAGAATAAAGATGAGAATAAAAGCACATCTGTATAAAAGTGCACTCACTGCAGAAGATATGAATATACTGTTAATAGATATTTCATCTTACACTCTGATAAAAAGAAAAAGAAGAATGATAAGAAGAAAGAGAAGAAGAATGACTTGATAAGTTCTCAATCAGCAGTAAATACAGTAATTACAAAGATTGAGTTCTATTTCTCTTTCACAGTCACTGAAAAATCATTCTTCAGATCTTGATATTTGAATACATGTGCAAGTCTGAATATGATGAGTGAGCTTCATTCTTTCTCAAATATTAAATCTTTTAATAATAACATCTCTGTTGATTCTGTCACTGAGAGAACTGAGTTTGTCAAGAAGATTGAGACTGTCATCTTGAAGATTGAGAGTGATAATGTTAACTTGTAGAATGTTTACTATATCTCTAATATTACAGTTAATCTGCTCTCATTTATGAAGCTTGAAGATCAGAAATTCTGATTTATATTGTCTTTCACTATTCTCTCATTTTTCATTTACAGAGCTCTAAATAATGTTATTTTTCATGCAGTTTGAACTGCTCAGAATAATATATATAAGATCAATGAACAGAAAGTTTAATGAGAATCTCAATTATTTGAACAAGGCAGTCAAGTATATTACAATGTCACATGAGTATAATTTTGACTGAAAAGTTAATCTTTCTGTGGCTACTGTCACTACTGTTAATAATGTCAATTCTGCAGACACAAGAACACAGACATCAAAGATATTAAAGACTCTTTTGAATTGATATTATAACCTCAGTCACATTTATACTAGTGCTATAATTGCTATGATTAAGAATTCTCATACTGAAGTCACAATTAAAGATTCTAAGACTAAGTTCTTTTGTGAGAAATGTGTCAAGACAGGTATGACATAAGATTATTTGAAAATACTGATGTCTAGATCTATTTAACTCATTGAGAAAGTTCATATTGACCTTGCAGATAATGAATGTACATTGAAAGACCTCTCTGATTATCTCTTAGAGTTCTGTCAGAAGATTAAATACTGAATGCTTATCATCTGTGATGTGACCTGCTACTATTGAGTATATTTTTTAAAGTTCAAGAATGAGGCTGTTCAATACTTTGAGTTATGACTCAGATTCATGAATAATCTCAGGTATACAGTCCCTGCTTTTCTATGAACTGATATTGATGATGTTTTCCGATTCACATATATACACATAGTTATGAATTCACATGGTATCAAATGAGAATCAATGGCATCACATTCATCACATCAGAATGATGTTTCTGAATGTGAAATCTACACTATTATGAAACAGATTAGAGCTGCTCTTTTGAAAGATAATCTCTCTAAGAGATTCTGAGCAGATGTTCTAGAGACAGTGATTACAATAATCAATAATACTCTCACATCTACAGTTCTTTATAACTTGAAATTTTAGCCCTCTACTACAGAGACTTCTATAATTCTAAGTTCATATAAGATTTCTTAATATGCACTTATGAATACTCTGCTGAATATGAGGCATTTTCACTGATTAAGTGCAGAGGTTTTTATTCACTTACATGAATCTCAGAGACTCACAGATAAGCTCTCTTTATATACTGATTTCTATCACATTATTGAATTCAGTAGTATATTAATATATTATCTATAACATTCTGAATCTGATAAGATTATTGTCAGTAGTAATATGAGATTCCTGATCACTGAAAAATTGAAATTAATTGTCATATCTGTGATATTCATTAATAATGCTGATGAATTGAAACCTGATATTCATCTGATTGATGATGAAGATGCTTCTGATATTAATGATCTGAATTTCACATAATTGCAGCCTGTGAAATTGCTAGCTACTTACATCTCAAGTCTTATTACAGATAATCTCTTGAAGTTCTATAAGAATGTCACATCTCAGTCAGAGAGAGTAGAAGATTATTGAAAGAAGTTCATATAATATGAGATTACTGATCTGAAGAGATGTAATATATAAAGTTTGATTTCTAGATCTGATATTCTGAGGAATGAACTGATTGCTCTGATGTGGTTCGGAAGAACGTACGGTGGTTCGGAAGAACGTACGGTGGTTCGGAAGAACATACGACCGTCGGATAATAACGCGGCCGCTTCTGAACTTGCTTACGAGTGTAAAGGAGCCATAGCGGCCGCTAATTAATTTAGCATATAATATATAAGAAGCCAGTGTACACCTGTAATTGTACACTGACTCAACCAACCTTTGAATCACATCTGATAGCATGTCTAAAAACTGGTGAGAAGCGCAGGCTTCTTCAGAGTGTGATAATTCTGTCTATGAAGTGATTCATAGTTATCATGTCAGTGTGGTTCTAGAATATCTCAAAAGATAGTGTATAAAGAGTGATGAGTGAAAGAGTATCTGATTAATACTGCTTTGCTTATTGAGAGAAAACTTCACACTCAGATGAATGCCATGTATGAGACATGAATGAATAAGATGTGAGAAAGAAAATAAGAGTGATGAATCAGATTCAAAGAAGTTCACTCTCTACTCAAAAGAAGAATAAAAAGAAGAAGAGTGGTTATTACTGAAGTTATATAATGATAACAGAAATTATACAGTGATATAACAATAGACATTATATAATCAATGAGAAATCACTGAAATGAATATCTCTTCTAGTCAATATAAACAACACTCTTCTCTGCTATCTGAACTGAAAGATATGCAGAATCTCTCAGAGAGTTTACTTGAAGCAGTAAGAAAAGCAGCTGAGACTGCTGAACTG